GGTAGAGGGCGCCATATACGGATCGTTTTCAAAATCATGGCCGCACCATCACAACAGAGTGATGACGGTGATAGAAAACGTAAAGTTGTGGAGGATAAAGATGATTGTGACAATGATGAATGGATTGGGCCTTTACCAACCGAGGCTGTAAAAAAGAGAAAACGCAAAGGTTAGTGTTAGTCCAATTACTACAAGTTAATTCGCTCAGGCTTATTAGCCTAGCTAGGCTAGGCCCTCTAGGCTAGTCTAGGCTAGCCTAGCCTAGCAGCTAGACAGACCAGTCCTTCCTAGGCCTAGAGAGAGGTGTGATGATTGATAAAAAGGGCCGAGGTCTAGGTAGGGGTGTCTAGAAAACTCAGAGCTCATATAGTCTAGGCCTATCTCTGGTTTCCTAAAAAAACTCAGATCTTTAAATAGACAGACCATACCATGGATAGGGGGTGGGTAGGGTGCTTGTCAAATAATTGAGTGACGGTTACTCAATTTTATTTATATAGGCCTAGGCCTACTTTGTTTTCTTTAGTAGTGTACTGTATTCTGTTTGAAGTATTATTTTTGGACGCACCTTTAACATGTGAAGTGTGCCACTGTTTCAAAAGTGTGGTTTACGAACAAATTATATTTAACTAAAACATGAAGATATAAATGTAAATCATACCTCCAACCTGACTAAGAGGAGCTGAGAGATTTGTAATGTGTGACTATACCAGTTAAATAGGTGGGGGGGGGGAGGCCGCCAGGCAAAACGCGATTCAAACTCACGACCTTAGTTCTTTAGGACACACCATTAACCGACCGTGCCATGGGACGTGCACTATAAGTGGTAAATGGCAGTAATGTACGTCGGTCCTTGCCTGTACAGTTCACAATTTACAACACTAGATAGATATAAAAGTAATAGGCCTTTTTCACGAATCGGTAGACATCTTGAAGTGATGACAAACATTGCGAATCAGCGGTGCGTAACCAACATAAATAAGATAAGCTTTTGGGCTGATTTTCTGACATCATGTTGTTTAAAAAATCATAACTCCATAACGGGGCGTCGTATCCAAAAAATGTTTCCAGGAAAATGTTCTTAAAAGACCAGTCTTCACCACTATATGATTGAAAAAAAATTGAAAATTTTTTTTGACCTCTGAAATCAAGATTGCAATGCCAATGCATTACAGTGCAGTAACATAGGACTTTCGTGTTGTTACTGTTCCAAGTAGCGATAATATACATATTTCTCTTATTACAAAGTACAAGTTATGTTTTATAAAGAGGCATATTATAGTAAATCATGTTTTTAACACAGGAAACTCTCATATGGTAACTAAAACAATGCTAGTTCAGAGTATTACTAGTACTACAGCACTGTAATGTATACCTATTTTAATACACTACTGAGATAGGCTTTTATTTTTCAATCTTGATTTCAGAGGTCAAACAAATTTTTCAATTTTTTTTCAATCATATACTGGTGTAGAATAGTCTTTTAAGAACATTTTGCTGGAAGTTTTTTTGGGATACGACGCCCTGTTATAGAGTTATGATTTTTTAAATAACATGATGTCAAAAAAATCCGCCCAAAAGCTTATCTTATTTCTGTTGGTTACGCACCGCTGATTCGCAATGTTTGTCATCACTTCCAAGATGTCTACCGATTTGTGAAAAGGCGTAAATTATGTCTATTGATGTTTACAACTACCGAAGTTGATTACCGCAATTTAACTTTTCAAGGCCCAAAAGTTTTGAATTCGTTACAAGAAGATCAGAAGAATCTTTCAAATATGAATAGTTTCAAATATAAATTACATTCATACCTTGTTTCAGCTATAAATTGATTTTTATATTTTATATTGTCAATAATATATGTGGCAAAGACAAGCCAAACCAGTCACTCATCGCAAATCGTGTTTCAGAGAAAATGGCCAAAACATGCTGGAATGTCAAATTTTTAAAAATCTATTTTATAGCACTATCTAACCCTTACATATCTATACATCATTCTATCCTGTTATTTTCCCCATTTTTAATGTTAAAACAACACTTTTTAAGGATTTAATGATCGTTTCTGCATGAGAAATGCCTGAAATCATAAACTTTGAAGGCTGATTTCTCATATATTGTTCTTTAAACAGCTGTATGTTTAAACGCTTGTAACTTCATAAGGAATTGTCCGATTTGAATGATTTTTTTTACCATTTTATAGCTATTATTTTACTCTCTAACACTGTATTAATAACTCAAAATCGATTTTTGCGACAAGTGACTGGTTTGGTTTTTCTTTGCCACATATAGAAAAGAACAATATTCAATTTATAGTACCACATCATAAAACTATGCTTTTTGTTTCACATTTGTAATTAACTTTATTCTTTAGTTTGGGCCCCACATTTTAAGCTCTGCTTACAGCAGGGTTCCCTTTTCTCAGAAACAATTTTATATTCTTTTTTAACTTTGTTATTTTTAAGAAATTAAATTATTTGAATTAAATTGGATATAGACGTGGGTACAAGTTAGCCAGTGTTGAGCACGAGTTGACCTAAATTCGGGTATGCGTTACTACAGTTGGCATAGGTACGAGTTAGCCGACACCTGGGTTAATTGTAAGAGGTCGTAAATATAGGCAGACCTGGAAATTTCTAGAGGATAGGTTTAAAATTATGAGTAGAATAACATACTAAAAGTCATGGAAAATCCTATAAGGTACAGAGCCACATCAAAGCATAGGCCTAACATGTCCTTAAATTTTTGGCAGTTTTGGAATTTCAAGATGTTTACCTACAAAATCTTCCATCTGCTGAAGGTTACGAAAAGAGTTTCATGCACCGTGATGTCATTACTCATGTTGCAGTGTCAAAGTAAGTAACACAAATACTAGGCTACCACTTTCTTAATTCTAATTTTTAATAGATATAAAACATATTAAATAATAAAATTTACAATGTTAAGAATTTCGATCAAGTATTATATATTATTGTTCTCAACACAGACATAGATCTACTGTACATCTTCTTAATGTTTTGTTTCCTCAATTTAAAAATATTTACAGGACAAAGTTTATCATTACGGCCAGCTATGATGGACATGTTAAATTTTGGAAGAAGCAAGATGAAGGGATAGAATTTGTAAAACATTTTCGTGCACATCTTGGTAAATATTTTCATTTACGTATTAAAGAATATTTATTTTCATGTAATCAGGTTACATACAAATTAATTTCAATTGATATTAATGATTGATTATAATAATAAATATCATTAATGTTCTTGTATTGCAGGTACAATTGTTAGTATATGTATGAGTGGTGATGGAATGCTACTATGCACCATCTCTGAAGACAAGACATTAAAAGTGTTCGATGTCATCAACTTTGGTAAGCAAAATCTAAACATTCATAATTGTACAGCAATCAAAAAAAATCTAAAACAATTAACTTGAACTATAAATGCACAGCCTGGCCAACCAGAAAACGCCTTTTCTTGTATTAAGAACCGGAACATTTTATTCTTATAGTTGACAACAAAATACATGCCAAGTGTTGGTGTTGAATAGGAAATATTAACAAATAGGTAAATTAATATTAAAGAAATATGGGTATTGGTTTTTAGCATCTCATCATTAAAAATATTCCCAAGTGGTTCCCAAAAAAGTGAAGTTAGTACATTACATATAAAATGCTATACACATTTACTTTAATTGCACTAATTTGAATATTATCATACAGTTATTCTATCTACCTATGGTATATGGTAAACATATTCCTTAATGGTCCTAAATTCCACACCCTACTTCGAATCATCACTAAACTTTAAAAATTTCTTCATTGAAACATGACAAACTATTCTGGAAAGTTTCATTTTGATCCATTTTTTAAAGAGATATTTAGGTCTGGGACCTATGGCTTTCAAACTCGCAAAGTGTCATTCACATCAGTTGATTAGTTTTTAAATATCTGGTCTAGGACTTTTTTCTTTAATAGTCCCCATATCCACACCCTACTCCGGACCGTCACCAATATGTAATCATTTCTGATTTTGGTCATACCTAACACTTTCTGTAACGTCCATTTAGATCTGTGCAGCCTTACAATAATAAACATGGACAGAACACACTCATGGTAATATAAAATAACTTTTAACCTTTTATACTTAGATATGATCAACATGATAAGACTTCCCTATATTCCAAGTTGCTGCGAGTGGGTGTTTAAATCTGGTGATGCTATTGGAGCCTTAGCGATGTAAGTTTAGCATTTTTTATGTTACTCCCAATTGGACAAGCAGGGCCTTTTAAAGAACAGAACATGTAAAATACATCAAAATTTCCTTAAAACGTCCAAATCACTAAAACATTGCTTTTCCTTGTGCTCCACTGGCCTCTCTACTTGGAACCAATCCCAGGTTAGTGGGCCCTAAAAAATGTTGGCCAAGGCCTTAGGCCTCTTTCAGGATTGTAGCTGTAGAAAACTAAAAGGTTTGTAATAGATATTTTAATGGTGAGTAGGTGATAAGTTTATTGAACTCTAATTAATAAGAGTGGATTTTAAGGATGGAAAAGTGCGTTAATAAAGGTGGGTGGACGGCCATGAAATTAGCTTTAGACTGGGTGGAACACTTCAAGGCTGGGTGGCCTTTACCCACCTCCCCCACCATAACTACATCCCTGCTCTTTGTTACCCCACTGAGTAGATAGAGCTGTTGTAACACACTAATTTTACTATTTTTTTGTTTCAGATCTGAAAAGGACAATGGTGTAATCAATGTGTATGATGGTCGTGGTGATAATAAACCTCTACATACTTTAGACAGTCTCCATTCAGCACCAATTCTTTTTATCAAGGTTCAAACTGGGTTATAATACCTTGGTAGTGTAAAAAGGCAGGGGTGGATTTAAGGATGTGCGAGCCGGCCCCGTTTCCCCCCTCCCCTCCCTTTTTGAAAAGTAAACAAAAAAGAAGAAAAAGATATTACGATCGCCCAAAATGCCTCCGAGGTTATTTCCGGGCATCTAGAAAACAACACTAGGGTAGTGTTGTCTCTCGATCGACTCCCGCCTCACCTTTCCTTCCCCCCACCCTCCTCCCCTTTCGGACATCTCTGGATCCGCCCCTGAATAAAGCGGAGCTGTAGGGTAATATAAAGTAGAGCTGTAACTACAGGTCGAGCCCATACTAAGTCAAGTGGTGGTGACAAACTATCTATGTGGTGTACCACAAACATTAATATATTATTACTTCGCCATGCAAACCTTCAAACAATACCTTTAACAGTATTAATTATTATTATTTCAGTACAATCCTATTTATGAAGTTGCCGTTTCTGTTGACAAGCAAGGAATGGTTGAATATTGGACGGGGCCAAAGAAGGACTTCAGTTTTCCAAAGAATGTTGCGTTTGAGTTTAAAACCGACACAGACCTGTATGAGTTTCTTAAGGTACAGTGCATTACAATGAGATTCTTGTTTTTCAACAATATTTTCATGTAGAATTCCTTGGTGAATCATACATATTTTGTGAATGAAACATTAAAAAGCTATTGATACAGTATGATGTAAAATTATTTGACTTCTGTAGTGGGAACTGTAGAATTTCTTGGTGAGTCATGTACTGAGTATTGTGTGAATGAAACATTAAAAACCTATTAATACAGTATGATGTAAAAATTATTTGACTTTTATAATGGGAACTATGAATATTACAAAATAAAAAAAAAAATACGTATTAGAATGTAAATATATGTACGACAGTGTATCTATTGATAATTAATTCCTTTTGTATCTGAAATACAAAAAGATACAAAGAAATTTGAGGAGAAGACAAGAATATGAAATTATTTGGAAACATGAATTAAAAACATGTAGTACAGTACTTTCTCATTGAACTAGTAGTGAGAAGAGCACACGCACACACACACACCAGCTAACCAGGGGTGGATTTGTGGGGGAGGGGAGATGGTGCCAATCCCCCTAAGGAAAGTAAAAAAAATGGGGGAAAAGAGAAAAAAAAAGAAATCACTGATCACCCAAATCGTCTCAAGAGGTTGTTTCCACTCATTAAAAACCAAAAATTTTGACGGGGCTATAAGTAGTGTTGTCTCTCGATCACGCGCTCCCCCCCCCCCAAATCTGGATCCTACCCCTGCTAACGGTTAGCTAGGATCCAGAGTACTTTAATAACATACACTCTCACATACAAGAAGATGATGGTGAGATCATTGCCCAATAGGAAATGGGAAATTGGAAATTCGTACGTCTGATTGGTTAATGATAGAAATGAGGGCAACCTGCTAACCAATAGCGCTTAATTGCTAACCGTTAACATATCCACTTCCTGGTAACGGTTAGCGCTAACTGATTGGGTGTTCTCACACATGCTGACGGTTGGCGCTAACGGTTATCTCCCGATCCGGTTATTAAGGCCGTAGTGTGGATCTAACGTACTTCTTCACACTCTTTGGTTCAGCCTTAATAACATTTCTTTCATTTTTATATACAGAGCAAAACCATTCCTTTGAGTTTAAGCTTTTCACCAGATGGCAAACAATTTGCTACAATTTCAAGAGATAGAAAGGTTAGTCTATTAGTTTTTTTTCTATTAAACAAACGATTGTTGTAGTAAATAATAGTATTACCTTCTTATTTCAAATATTGTTTTTATTTGCCTATTATTAATACTATCATATTAAGTTAACAGTTTTTAATATTAACATGTGGAATATCTCAAATCTAATAAGGAAACAATGTATGTTTTTATAATATTTTTTTTTTAGATCCGGATATTTAAATTTTTAACAGGAAAAATGACGAGAGTAATTGATGAGTCGTTAAAAACGTTCACAGAACTCCAGCAAATGAAGCAACAGTTGCCAGATATGGAATTCGGCAGGCGGATGGCAGTTGAGAGGGACTTGCAGAAGTCTGATTTCTTCTCCAAAGCAAATATAAGTAAGCGTTTCTTTCTCTCTCATGAGTTATGGTTACTCAATCAGGATAGAGGGCGGATTTAGTGGGGGCCTAAGCCCACTCCAAACCCCCCCCCCACCTCTTTAAAAAAAAAAAAGAAATTACTGATAGCCCAAAACACTTCAGAGGTTATTTCTGGGAGGAAAAAGAAACATCAATGGTAATTTCCCCGTTCACCCGTAGGTTGAGGATAGCGAGGTACATATTAAGCCCATTCAAGAAAATTTGGTAATCTCGACAGAGGTTCAAGGTGCACATTAAAAAAAATGTGACATTTATGTAGCGCATATTGCAATAAAATGCCTCTATGCGCTTTTACAGTATTACCCCCGGCTGCTGAATTAAACACCTATGGAACACATCTTCAGCTCCCTGGGGGAGTATAATTTCCATAAGCAGCTAGAATCAGCGCTTGGTATTAGATCCTAACAGGCTGGAAAGAGGCAAACGTAAATAACTGGCATAGCGAGGACTTTGAACTTACGACCTCAAGGTTGAGCGTCCGAACCACAACGGTACCGTTGCGCTAACCGCTTCAAAGCTGCATGATAGCAGTGGCAACACCTGAGTTTCCCCAGGTGTCGAAAGTGGGGTCGTTCCACCTCAGCCCCACCATGGTTAGGGGCTTAAAATGAAAGAGAAATGAGTAGAGGAGTAATAATGCAAAGCCTTGTTGACAATAATGAATAACATAATAATTATGTTATTCATTGTTGGGAATAATGAATAACATAATTATTATGATTTTACTTATTATTTCAGTAGAGTCTTTTTATGGTTATATATAATAATTACTTTATTTTTCTTTTCAGTCTATGATGAAAGTGGTTACTTCATTTTGTATGCTACAATGCTTGGGATTAAAGTTATTAATTTGTACAATAATACATGTTCACGGTTTATAGGGAAGGTAAGTGCGGATGTATGCCCCTTGCTATTATCATTGCAAGTTGATGTATTCCAACATAGAAATTTGATCTAATGGCATAGGAAATAATGCTAAAACACATACTGTAGGCCACTCTTGGTTAATGCAAAGATGATATAATATTATTACAAAGTGTATTTTCTCAAAAAAATTTATCTATATATAAAGAGGGTCATCACATAACGTGCCATCAGTGTTGATAAATCTAGTGGCACTATCTTATGTTGGGCCTCCATATTATGCATCTATTTATATGGATATTTCTATATCGACCTGTCTATATAATTATCAATCCGTCTACATCTTTATGACTGGCTCTGACAAAACCAGCCATTTGTTAGAAAAATTCAAAATTGAGTATTTTGTATTTTGAGATTCTGTATGAAGTCTTCTATAAAACAGTGTTTATTTAATGGAAATTGGTTGAGTATTAGCAAATTTGTAAATATTTAATTAATTGTATATAAGTCATGTAGGTTTTGAGAAAACAGCTTCCAAAGATTCCAAAATCAATAATTTATTATTAAGATTTGTATTTTTAAAATAAGTTAAATATATTTTTCAGTTAGATTTAGTGATTAATATTTTGCAGAAATGTTCTTCAATATATCTTCTTTTATAATGCAAAAACTTGGAAATATTCAAAATTCTGATTCTCAAATGTTTTGGGTGCTTGTGGGAAATTAGAAATTGCGACAGACGGAGGGTTTTGCCAGAGCCAGTCACATTTATATGTACGTCCCCATGGTCTGTACTCCAATTGAATAGTCTCATTAGCCTTATATTTGAAAATAAACAATTGATAATACACAAAATTCCTGAAATTATTTTGCTTACATTGTATAAAAAATGCAACGTTTTTATTTTTATTTATTTAGACCGAGAATGTACGGTTCTTGCAGCTAGCTCTCTTCCAAGGGAACATTAAGGAAAACAAAGCTGCACTGACGCTGGAGATGAAAGCCTCCGACAACCCTGCCCTCCAAGGCATGGATGTTGACCCAACCCTCTTTTGCACCGGCTTCAAAAAGAATAGATTTTTCCTGTTTTCAAGAAGAGAACCAGACGACACTAAAAAGTAAGATCTCTTCCTGTATATTACAAACAAGGGGTTTCGCCTGACAGCATAACTATGTACAGTATAAAATCATTTACTATTATATGGTGTATTTAATTTTTTTTTTTTTTCAACTTACAGTGTTAATAATGACAGAGATGTCTTCAATGAAAAACCATCAAAGGAGGAACAAATTGCAGCGTCTCAAGTAAGTAAAATCATTTAAACCCCAGGACTCCACAACATCCTACCTATTTTTATGATAAATTGACTGAGGTTGTATTCTAGAAAAAAGAAATTTATTTAAAGGTGCTACCGTAAATGCTCGAATAAGCGCCGCTATTAAATAAGCGCCGCACCAAACATGATTGTTTTTTCCGCTAAGCACCACTCTCGAATGAGTGCCCAGTGCTTAATGGAGAGTATATTACCCTGTGTGTAATGAAACAATTTGAGAAACAGGGTTTTAAATACAGTGTACATAGTGTTTAAATGAATATATATCACAATGAAACACAAGTATTTTTTTATAAATATTTATTTACGATGACGTACCTATGATAGGGGATACATGAGATAGGTAACATGGGAACAGACATGAAAAGCGCTATGCCAATATTTGTTTCTTCTGCGTTTATTCAAGCATTTACGGTATGCAAAAATATTAGAGATTAACGCTAACTTAAAATTACACAAAATTCATAATTTCTTTAGTTTATTATCCCAATACAATCAGTACAGTATGTATGTCATTTTTTAATGTTTTTTACACCAAGAGATTTTAAGATATCTGATTTATATGCTCCATTCTACCTTATTATTTCCTTATGATATCAGTAACATCTTTATATACTTAGCTTGGTTCATTAATATCATTTTTTTATTTTTAGTCGGACATGTCTCTGAAGCTCTCCAACCTTGCTGTGATGCACACTACGATGGGGGATGTCGCAGTAAACTTGTTCTCGAAGGAGTAAGTAGAATATTAGCAACTGAGGGCGCTATTTACCAAATCTACTGTAATACTGTAGCAATTGATTTTATGTATTATTTCCCACCAGGATTTGATCCCAAGATCAAATTTCAATTACCATGTGGTATTCTATCTGATCTATGAGGCCTTGTAATATACTCCACTGTATTTTTCAATTAGAAAATCGTACTCTCAATGATTACGTAATATAGAATAAAATAATTGTTAATGTCGTCATATAATTTTATAGGCATTAATATAGATCTTCTTACTTAGGATATTGCGCTGTAGAGGGACAATACTAAAAGGGACAATAGAAATATTATACTTAGATGGAAGTAGTAAAGAAATACAGGAATAGAGTTATACAAGGTGATTGATGTCTTTGTCTTGATCCTTTTCCAAGGTGTCCAAAGACAGTGGAGAATTTCTGCGTTCATGCTAAAAATGGTTATTACAATGGACATTTGTTTCATCGGATCATTAAAGGTTTTATGGTACAAACTGGAGATCCATTAGGTAAGTAACTTTCTTAAGTAACACTTTCTGTTCGTGGTTGGGGTTTAACATTTCCCAACAAAAAAAGTTTGAATTTACAGTTATGCAGCCTTACCTCTGTACTATTTTGTGTTTATACAGTACCCCTAAAATCTAGAGAGTGAACTTCCACTCTGTTTACTAGCTGTAGTGTTATAATTCTGTTGATTCCTTTATATTAGCAATTTAAGGAGAATACAGTGTACCAAATGGCTAGCAGTTATTGTTATTGAAATCGAAAGAATCTTGGTTAAGAAAGTATAATACATAAACCAAGTATTTAAATGCATGCTAGTTCAATATTTCAGCATTAATTTCCTGATGATGACATGATAAACGTATTTATTACAGTACTTTCTTATTGTTATTGAGGTGTTTAGAATGTTCTTCAAAAAATGCAAACAATTACTTTAGTATTTCTTGGGTTTGAGAACCTACAACATACTTATCATTTTTTATCTATAGGAAATGGAACTGGTGGAGAGTCGATCTGGGGAGGTGAATTTGAGGACGAGTTCCACCCCCGGCTGAAGCATGATAGACCATACACCCTCAGCATGGCAAATGCAGGCCCTAATACCAACGGGTCGCAGTTTTTCATCACTGTAGCGCCTTGTGTATGTAGTATAATTTACATTATAAATTTAAGCCGCCATTATTCATCTACCTATTAAAAAAGTTAACGTACTGATGGTTTCATTTCTAATTGGCTGCTTACAATGATCTTGTATAAATTATATTTATTATTTTTACTACCTCCATCTTTCTGCAGACTTGGTTAGACAATAAGCATACAGTGTTTGGGCGTGTTACCAAAGGAATGGATGTAGTTCAAAAAATGTCAGAGGTGAAGACAAACTCCAAGACAGAGAAACCAGTAGAGGACATAAGGATCATCAACATAGCTATCAAATGAATCATCCTGAAATATCTGAAGTGAAAATCTCCAAGACAGATGGAAGACAAAGGGACATTAAAATAGCCGTCATATGGTGCAACATCATTGTATAAATAAATTCAACCAGAGGATTATTATTATTATAGCTGTATCATAGCTATAAAATACTTATACTGTTTTCTTGCTCGGCTGTCCCGAGGCAAAGCAACGTAACTGGTAAGATAAGATAAACTGTATCATCATGACCACAAAAATTGTTTTGAGCTGATGGAGTTTGGCAAGGCAAAATCAACTGGTTATTGGTGTTTCATATCAATAACTTTGCAATAAACAAATGGGTGTAATTAAAATTTTACATATAATCACAATGTTTATAGATAAACAATCCTGCAAAATTTCAAAAGGGTACAACAATTTATTGCCAAGTTGCAAACTTGCCACAGAACAGCCATGCTTTCAACTATTCAAACAAGAAGTGAGCCTAATAATAAATGTAATTTGTGGTTCCAGGATACTAAATTAAAAATTTACCTAGGGCCTTTGAAACAATGTACAGTACATTAGTTGACATTGCATTACAGGCAGCCTATCGGCAGAATTACTAATACTTGTCAAATTTATTGCAATAAATACAGGTCTCCCTTTTAATAAATAAAAACTGGGCTTTTCCTGGTCTTTATTTAGAGATATGTACCTGTGATTTACTAATATTTGGGTGTCATATGGCATAAAAAGTACTTCATACAACTGTACATGCAAAATAGTTCTGTAAACATCTTTGTAATAAACACAATTTTTTATAAGTATTTGATTTTTATTTATTTCTCTTCAAAATGGATGATACAGTAATACAAACATTATACGATCTACTTAGGGCTGAAAGTACACTTCCCACTATATAATTACAAAAGTGATACAATATACAATATTATTGATTTTTTTTCCCTAAAGTATTTTATATAAATCTCTATTTACAATCTATATTTCTGTGGCATACGGAAAATATTACATTGTCCATTCTATACGGAGGCCTGAGGACGACGACCTGGGAAGTAAGCACTCATCAGAGGTGGTGTGGTCCTTGGGTTCACTGCTTGCATTTGGGCTTTTGCCGGAGCCTGGCTTAGTCTAGCTGGTGGTTGAGGTAATGTCGGAGGTGTTTGACTGGCTGGTGTGGAGTGATGAGCTGGAGCTCTGACAGAGAGTATGTCGCCACGGCCAGTGCTTGGTTGAAGGAACTTGGCATCTAATACTGGTTCACTGTAGCAGAGATAAAGTAAATGGGTTAGGGATCGACAGAATGGCACTGAAGCATTTTATGTACTTATACAAAACGAACTATACATAGATCATGGACCTAGGTAAGATTTTTATACTGAATAAAAAAACCATAAAGCTTGGTTTCCTTAAAATCGCTACACTATTGCTACAGTGCTTTCAGTGCAATCGTATTACGTAGCAGTTCCTCAATTCGACCAACCAATCAGCATTACTGAAACTTGTTGTCTATAGCGATTGTATGGAAACCGTGCATCATTGAATGCAACATTACACTTAGTATTTTATTATTTTGATGATGGTCAACAATTTTTATGATCATACATGTAATACATACCTTTTCCCTTGCCTATTTGCGTACAACGTCGGTGCTGATGACACAGGAGTAGTGGCAAGTTCTTCAGGAATAGCAGGTATGCCAGGTGACAACTTATGGTGACCCATCAAGTTCGGTTTTCTTGACACTTGTGGATTATACTGAATCTGAAATTTAAAATAATGCAATATACATTATAAATTAAATTTAGTGTCAAAAACAAGCATAATGCTAACAGAAGTAAGCATTAAAACATGCAGTGGCCCTTAGTGGCAAATTTCAAAATCTGAAATGTTTATTGGACTTCCCAAGATATCCCTACCGAGGTATCAACATTTTCACACAAGTCAATTAACACCTTGTTAAAAGTCTGTATAGTACATTAGTACACAGGCAGTAAGAATTTTACCTGTTGCTGAACAGAATTGGGCCTTGATGGATAGCTATGATGGGAAAACCTGGATTCTGTCAGATTTCCTGGGATGCTGCTAATAACAGAAGTACTCAATGGCTGCAAAAAAAAGATATAAAAAAAAAACCCCAGTTATAAACTGTGACACAAAAAATCATTTGATATTGAAAGCAGGGGTTTTTTTTTACTTGCAGTTACATTCAGGTATGAAAGTCTATAGCTCCATCACAACTCATTCAGCTATCACCTGTTCAGGATGATTACATTTTCAGCAGGCACAGAAGGATGATTGCTAGTCAATTAGAATATTACCTGAGTTGGATTAAATGTTGGCTTGAAATTTTGGCCAGCACTTGCAGTTGAGGGCTGCTCATAGGGGCCTGGTGGCCTTCTTGAGAGCTGTACCTCATTCACTTGTTTGTTCAACCAGTTGATGACTGGAAAATAACAAAAAAGTTTATGAAGTAGTGACAACAAAATACAGTTCATCTCCCAATTTGAAAGCCCTGTAAATCGAGACCACTTTTATAAAATATCAACTAAAAATCTTCAATCTTTTAACACTGAGCCCATTCAAGACCACTCTAATTTGAGACCATTTATATAAAGTACAGTACCAACTTAATAATCTTCAATCTTTTAACAGAAAGCTAACCCTCTAATTAGAGATGAAACCCTAAGACTAACCCACATTTTCAGGTTCCAAATTTGGTCTTGAATTTGAGGGAAAAGTATAAATAGTTAAGAAAAGAATATTTGACACTTTCACATATTTGTTTGTCAGACTTCAGAACATGGCTAATCAAACTTGGATTAAATTGTGTGTACAACTACTAGTAGTAGTTCCTCTTGAATTGGAGGGAAAATTGTAAAGAGTTAATGAAGGATATTTGACACTTTTACATTTTTGTTTGTCAGACTTAACAGACCATGTCTAATCAGACTTTATTAAATAGTGTGCTTTTACATGACTGTTGGAAGTTGTTCACTGTTATGATAAATATGCAACGGCTTACCATTCTCATTTGTCTTCAGTAGCTCACGACTTTCCTCCAATTTTTTCTTTGCACTTTCATATGATTCACTTATGGTCTTGTTCTATAAACAATGAAAAATAGAAAATCTAAATCTAATCAAAATGTTAAATGGTAATCTAGGTAATTAAGTTATAATATTTTGGGTTGCTTTGAATTTGGATAGCTTGGCATAGAGTATTTTGCAATTTGGATTGCTTAAATACTCAAAAACGCCTGGTTCAGATTGCTTGACATGTGGTATGTTCAGCCTAGGTTTAATTGGCCCACTATTAGTCGTCATACGTTCGCTAGGTTTGCTCAGCCAAGAATCTACAGCCTAGGAATGTTTCTACTTTGCTCAGCTGAAGTTTAGCTGGCCTACGTTTGCTCAGCATAGTATTACATGACTGGGCTATGATTTCTTAGCCCAAGTTTTTTAGACCAATAAAATACATCTGGCACACATTGGAACAATCAATAAGTTAAAAACAAAACAGTATCTTACTTCACTTTCCAATTGTTTCAACTTAAAGTGAACTTCTTTTAATTCTTCTTGGCATTTTGCCAGTTCTTGGGATTTTTCTTGGAGCACTTTCTCTTGATTTGTTGTTACAGTATTTTTCAACTTAACCTGTAATCAGTTTAGAATATGCTCTTTTCAACAGTCAACTAATGAAATGCTTGTATGTAATGTTGCATTGCAACTTTGATGTACTCATAAAAGTAAAGATACTCTTCTAACTTTGACAGAAGAGATACAAAAGCAAAAATTATTATTGGATTTGAGAACAGAGAATTATGAAACCTGGATGCTATGCTCCAGGGCTGACTCAATGTGTTTCTAAGCACCTCTAAGCAACTCGCTTTACCTACAGTATGTAATCTTATTTCCAAGGAACAACAATAAATGCATTGTCAAGAATAAACAAAATGTAACAAGATGTCACAAGCTAAAAAAAGTCTACTCTCACAAGATATTAATACTGAGAATAATTGTTTTCACATGTACATGCTCAATCTATGTATCCATGTAAGATTAGGATTCTTTTAGACCTGTGAGTAATACATTAAAATCAACAATCTGACCTTTAAAAGCTACAGTACCTAATTATGCCTATGATCTGGTTTAAAAGATTCACAGTTAAATTGTGAAGTACATCTAGAGGCATGGCCTGGTATATTAATTGTTTAGTATAGCTATATCCTTTTCTCACCTTCTGGGCTTTAAAATGGCTCTAGGCTACACCAATGGGGCCCATGCCTGAAGTATTGGCCTATCTTACAGGTATATTGCTACCATGAGACTTCATTAATATTTGTAGAGCAAATTAAGAAATACCTACATCTTCATAAATCTCTTCTCAAAATTCTGACTAGACCTGGTTTCTTCTTATGCACTATACTACTCTATCTATGTGAAAATAGTGTTGATCAAGCCATCATATTCTTGATAACTGTCTTGCATTGCATTACAATTATTTAATTTTTTGATTTCGGAGTGCAAATTATGAACAAAAAACATTGGCTAAAGAAACCTTAATCGTTCGCAATATCTCGTAACATCTTTCAACCATTACCCGCAGTTAGAGGTTGGTAGAAACTTTACCAAGGTTGGTGTAAGAAAACACTTTCACATGCAGCGATCCTTGTTACATCTTGTTACACGTTGTTGCAATTGAAATTTGAATTGAATTGACATTTGACGAAGGTGACCTTTCCAACCAAGACTAGAAGGTTAGCTGATGTTCAGGGGGCCCTCTATCTAGTAACTTATTGCTATTGTCTAAAATGATACTGAAATAGCAAAACACAAATAACATGGTTTAAACAAAATTGTTAGTGTCGGCTGGCATCCGCTTGAGAGAGTCCCTAAAATGCACAAGTATCATATAAATGCTTTGAAGTGGAGGCATCCAAGATTCCCTAATGAAGAGACCAAGGTCCCTGTCAGGGGGGCTACACCTACCTCACAATCACTATAGTTTTGAATAAATAAACAATGGTTGGAGCTGATGTCACAATGGTTGGAGCAAATTCAAAATGCTTGGGAATGCCACTCTCAGGCTGTAAAAAAGGCTTTTTTAGGTAGTGTTTCCCCAACAAAATTATTGGCTCCTTCCTCGGTGTGGGTAGCAGAACCCCCGCTGGTGCAACCACTGGTGCCTTGCTGAACAAAATAGTGAAAGTGTGGAATACAAAACATGCAACTACTATGATATAGCTGCTCTCACAACAAGATATAAAAAAAGGACATATAATTTGGCCAAATAATTTTCAAATCAAATACATAGTTTTTCACTTACCTTTGCCATGCACGTTTTAAGTTCACCTTGTAACTTTCTTATTATATCATTCCCCTGGCAAAATATATATAAATAAAACGTTTATGTCAGCAAAAAAACAGCTACAAAATACATGCAACATCAAGAATCTGAAGAAATATGATTCAGCCCACATACACTGGCAACTAAGAGTTTCACCTGTCATAAATTCCTACATGACGTATTTCCGAGCGGTATAGAAATGACTAGGAATCCCTCTTTGGCATATAAAATATAAACCAGAGCTCACAAAGTTGTAACACAACTCAAATATAAACATTTATTCTGTATAAACTCCAACAAGAATCCGGTATGAAAATAACACAACATTCACATAAACATGTGTTTCAAAAAGAGTTCCCGAAAGATAAAACTATCAGCTTATAATAACCTAGCTGTACAACTCCAGAGCATTCAAGAGCATTCCATATTGCCTAAGTTTCCCATTGGTTACCTTACATCATGATTAACCAATTAGGCTTATTTGCCTCTAAGTACCCAAGATTCCAGAAGCTTCCAAATATTACTCTTGGATTCTACATGGTGTCATGTGTTCCTAAAATTACCAATGTTGTTTACACTGTTTTTTTGATCAACTAAATGTTATTCTAGAATGTTCTATGTATTAAATATGTTAAAGTAAGACAAGGAATGGTAATTTATTACACACCGACTAACCTATTCCTCCTCACCTTGTGTACTTGTTGGGATGTACTCTTCAACGTTGATTCCAATTTGTTGATTCTGTTCTTTGACTGGTTGCAGCTTTCCTCCAGCTTCGCCTGTTATAGTAAGCAAATATCAATATAAAAAAATAAACTAATATAAAATGTGGGATAAATAAAGATTATTGATTGAAGTTCTGCAACTATTTGTCAAGTTAAAGTTTACTTTTAAGAGTTTGCTGACTATACCAAAACATGTTTTCAAATTTCAGTGTGTGGGTGCAGATCGTAGTGATCATAATTGGATATATGTAAAGAGAAAAGAGATAATACAACAAAACAATATTTAAGACAAAACTAAAGTCAAACCTTGTGTTCGTTTGCAGCCTCCAGTAGCGTGTTGTTCTTTTCGACAAGGACATCCTTGTCCCTAACCTCCTGTTCAAGTACAGCAATTTTAGTTCGCAGCTGGCTGATAACTTTCTCTCGCTCGTGACAGCCTGAGTCAAGACTGCTGTTGTCTTTACGCAATGCTTGCAACTCTTGACGTGCACGATGGTAATCCTGAAGAATAAGTATATAATTGGATGGTTTTATTCAGTGTAAGATAACTTATGAAAGTCTGAAGAAGATCTTATTTCCAGAGAGGTTTTTTTTGGTGGTGATTGGGCAGTACACCATAAGACAATCCCCTACTCTTTTCCAAAGAGTGTACTGCGTTCTATAACATGCACATGGACCATAATACACACAAGACTAACGGCTTAAACGTTTCATCCGAAAGACGGTGCGCTACCATAACTTGCCTTTAGCTCTCCAGATGAAATACAAGGAGTGCAGCAATGGGAACTGAACCGGGGACCAAGAGATCTCCACGGTTCAGCGCACTCACGGTAGCTACCACCAGTTTAGCCGACCGAGCTCAGCTGCTCTCTTGGCTAAACCATTGAGATCACTGAGTCCCTTGTTCAAATCCATTGCTGCTTTCCTTCAATCAATCAATCAATCAATTCAACATTTATTTATTTCCTTTTTTAACAGAGAAAAATAATACAATGGTTTTTAAATAAATTGAAAAATTCTTGTGTATATTCAGAGGCTTAATAGCACCACAATCTGTCACAGATGTTTCAGCCATATAATTATGTGTGCATCAAAGCCCATGTGTAGGTTAAAGCACTGTGTACACTTATAAAAGAAGATATGACGATAAAAGTAATATTTACCTCTTCTATTCCACTAAGCTTGGCTTTCAGTTCACGAATGTTAGATTCTGACCGATATTTACGATCTACAAGCTCCTAGGATGGAAAAATAAAAATCATCAAAATAACAATGCATTCCATTCTTATATGATAAATCCTGATTCATTATAGCACCATTAATTAAAATTGACATTTGCTTGGTAAATTTCAACATATGTGTTGAAAAATTATATACAAATTTATTTCTAAAAATGAACTAATAAAGTTTGAACTGCAGTCTTTGTTGCATACAACATGAACCTTGTCATACTCATTGGTGAAACCTTTAGTTTTGTAGCAATGTGTTTATAAGCTTATGAATGATTAACCTTATTACTGCTGTCCTGCTGAGCCAGCTTCTCTTCAAGTTGTTGTAACTTCTGTTGGTAACTGAGTTCCGTTTCATGTTTTTCTCTTTCAACTCGAGCTTGGAATTCTGTCAACGACTATTTTCAAAGATCATAAATCATCATTATTATTCATTTGATCAAATACAACAACAGAGAATCAGCATAGAAAGGCTATCCACCCAGTCTGCCCAAGAATTTCCCCTTTTTAAAAGCTATTTAATGAGTATGAAATACTGTATTTTTTGTAATTTTCTCGCCAAAAGGAATAAAATAAAAAATAAAATAAACATATGCATTTCATTAATATTTTGTCTTCTTTAAATTTAGCAAAAATAATGTTCAATTACATTCAAGAGTTACATTTTTTCTTTGTGACTAATTAATTAGTTAATTATGTGACAATATACAGGAAACTATATAAATATAACAATAAAGTAATGTTTTTATTTTATTTAAAACACTGTTTTCATCTAACCTCTACTGCTTTTTTTCTTTCCGCCAATAGCTCATTTGAATGTTGAGCAGTAAGGTTGCTGATGCGCGAAGACCATTCTAGTTTTAAACTGTCCAGTTCCGAAGAACGTGCTGATAATGCCTACAAATACATATAAAAAAAAAAACCAGAAGAAATTCTTAATTATGCGCTTTATAACCTCAAGGAAGAGACACATTATAAATGCCTAATCCCAGTACCAGTAGGATTTAACTAAGTGAAACATCGCACCCAAAATGGTAACTAAGCTGTTAACTGCCATGCCACATTGTATGTCAGCGTACATTAACTGAGCTTCCAAATTATACATTTCAATTAACATCTATCCAATTTGAAATCTAACCTCTTGTGTTTGACGAAGGCGCTGAGATAAATCAGCTTCGGTTGACTGCAGTCTGGATTCAAGACTACTCTTCTCATCCTATAAAAAAAAAAGCAAAAAAACAGTTACTACAGTATTCTACAACCTCTTGAATAAACAAAATGTAAGAAAAACAATTTTCCATTACATTTTATAAGACAAAAACCAGTGATTTTGTTATGACATCATCAATCCTAGAAAATTTGAATGTGGACATAGCATTAAGTTGCAAAGAACTGTTGTATGCCCATATATAGTCATGATGTGCCTATATATGGTCATGATGTGATGTCATCATGACCATATTTAGGCATATCACATGTTTTCGTCAAATAAAATTTGATAGTCTGGACAGGACCTAACAGAAAAACTTGCCTTGAGATTTTTCAGACAATCTGCCAGGTACTTCTTTACATCAGCATCCATCCCTGGAAGGAGCTTCAGTGACAAGTGTGTCAGGTGTTTGAATGCATTAGTCTGCACCACACTCAAGGTAGCCATGCTGGTGCCAGTTGAGCTCTGATTCTCAAGCCGGAGCAAAAACCTACACGAAAAAAAACCCAAAAAAAATACCAAATTGGTAAAGATTTAATCAGGAGCGGATACAGTAGGGGGCACGTTCCCCCATTTGCCACTAAATTTTAAAATTTCAATACATATACAGTTGAACTTGCCTAAGTCAAATCCAAAATGCCATAGAAAAATTGTTCGACTTAGATAAAATTTGACTTAAAGATTGTTAATTAATGGAAAACCGGGAGGAAAACACAACAATTTGGCATGTAAAATAAGATTGACTTAGAAACTATTCGAGTTATGCAAATTCAACTTAGGCAAGTTTAACTGTATTGACATTAGCCCTACTCAAAATTTTAAAAAACCATCAATAGTTCAGCGTATGCCAGCGTTTTAGAGAAATTTTTATACATCGGCATACACTGACTTAATCGTCAAGATGTGACAGGGCCATTAAACATCAGGCTACAGCTCCATTAAACTAACATTGCATGGTTTGAACCCCTGATCCTGGGACCAAAAGGTAACATCTTAACCACTAAGCTACATTTCGTTATTTTCAAGAATGGAACTAAAAGACGTGAAGAATGCAGCTTAGCTCAGTTGGCTAAACTGGTGGTAGCCACTGCTTGCACGCTGAAACGTTGAGATCTGTTGGTCCCCGGTTCTATTCCCATCGTTGCTCTCCTTGTCCTTCCAGCTGGAGGGCTGAAATACAAGTTACAATGGCGCACTGTCTTTCGGATGAGTGCTCGTTAAAGAACGCAGTAGACTATTCAGAAAAGAGTAAGGGATTGTCTCCCGCTGTACTGCCCTATCACCACCAGAAGGACCAAACTGGAAATAAGTCTTGTTCAGTCTTTCGTGGGTTATCCTTGGTGTTTACACTGAATACATCCATCCATCCGAGAATGTTAACCATTTTCCTCTACTTACTGTGGAGCCTCCTTGTCCTGTTCTTGTAGACACAGCTCTAGTAGGTCGATGAACTTTTGTGGGAAAGCAGCAAAATCAACAAGCAATCCCTGTTGGTTTTTTAAACTGACAGGAAGACAGAAAGAACAAATGTTACAACATAGATTTAAAATTTATTATTAATAATTGTGATAAATAATAATACTAATAATAATAATTATAATAATAATAATAATAATGGTAGACTTAGCGCATATTGTTTAGCCCTATATGTGCTTCACATTATCATTACACCAAAATTTGTTAAAAAGATGATTCTGACCAAGATTTTGACAACTAAACAGACATATTTCAGGCCAACTCGATCGGGCCCAGTGTGTGAGATGCGAAGTACAAAAACTCATCTCATTAGAGGGGCGCACTTTATTGACTTAAAATATACACAAAAGTGAAAGCATTCTAGTGGATGCAATCTACAACCTTCGAATAGTAACATAGTAACGAAGAAGTCGTCGAGAAAATGGTATTCTCCTATGAGAAATAGTCCATATGTCTCGACGACTTCCATATGTTTTTTTTATCTTTTTACGTAAAACTAAAATGTATTCCAATATTTTTCCATGGTTTATAATAATTTAGAGTAATGCATATGCATTTTTTCTAAAAAAAAAATCTTTTTTTAGTGAAATTATGCTGGGAATGGGGCTTTAAAAGACAATGCTAGTGGATCTTTGCTAGCAATTATACAGATAGACTAAAAAGCAAGATGAATTGTTGGTAATAAAAATAAACAGGCATGCTTCATTCACTGTTCATCGCATTGTTCTAAAAATAATTTGATGGATAAAATAATAAAATTTGATTATAAAAAAATAGCAACATAAATTCCAAGAAATTTATCTTTCTTTCACTTGAATTTAGGATTAATGCTTTATACTATAATAATTAGTTGCTTGATGATATAGATTCTTACCTTTGGAAATCTTCCTCTCCAAGGCTCAAGTTGAAAAGAAAGAATGGATCACTGTCATCAGTCAACCTTACCTTCAGGTCCTATTGACACGAAAAAAAAAATTCACTTTAACAATAGAAGTACAGTAATCTTACAGCTATAGCTGATAAGCTGACCAGCAACCCTGCGTACACTTCTTGTCCTGTAAGTCCAATATTATTTAGTTTATCATAAACGTAGATTTGCAGCTCAATTTTTAAAAATATATTACATGAAAAACATAAGCCTATTATATTGGAGTAGTGACAAACTTTGGAGTTTTAAGTATTAAATTATGAAAATGTTGGGAACATATTTCTACTTCTATAATGTCAATTTGTGAGATTTTGAGTTGTATTTACAGATTCCAATCAACTTTCCCCCTAGCAAACTCGCCCCTAGCTTACTCGCCCCTTGCAATCTCGCCCCCATTATAATGAATATAAATTTATTCCAATGATATAAATGAATTTTTATGATGTATTGTTTATTTTCATGCTAGTCATTTTATACTGTACTTTAACGACAGAACCAATAAAAACAAACATTTATCAACATCAATGTTTCCACACGGCAAAACTACCATACCTGTGGTACCGTAAGTCACTTGTTAGGGGCAAGTTTAATAGGGGGAGAGTTTGTAAGGGGCGACTGTGTAAAGTTAGAGGAGTTTGTTGGGGGCAAGTTTATAAGGGGCGAATTTGTTAAGGTTAAAGTTTGAAGGGGCAAGTTTGTTAAGGGGCGTGTTTGTAGGGGGTAAGTTTGTTAAGGGGGAAAAATTGCAAGGGTAAGTTTGCTATTAGGAGCGAGTTGACTGGTTCCCGTATTTACATGTGAAAAGACTTTCTGCTTTCTACTTTACATAATAAAGTACGGTAATATCGATGATTGGCAATTGTTTTACCCCTGTGTTTGTAGGGGGTAAGTTTGTTAAGGGGGAAAAATTGCAAGGGTAAGTTTGCTATTAGGAGCGAGTTGACTGGTTCCCGTATTTACATGTGAAAAGACTTTCTGCTTTCTACTTTACATAATAAAGTACGGTAATATCGATGATTGGCAATTGTTTTACCCCTGTGCCAATATTATAATTAATATTGATAAAAATACTCACTTTTTTGTGTAGAGGAGAAGTAACAGTGCAAAGTTCAATAGTTATTTTTATATGGTGCCTTCTATGAATACAAAAAAAAACAAAAAGAGATTAACATTACTGTATGGGAATAGGTAGTTTTAAGTTTAGAAAAGCTCAGGGTGATCAGATTTGAAAAAAAATATCACTCTTGTTTGGGCAAAACTGTTTTTACACCTTGTTTAGCAAATATTAATAATGAAAATCTTGAATAAAGATAAAATTTTGTTTTTGGCCAATTAGAGCACCCGTCGCCATGAAAAACGGAAATTTCAGAGAGAAATAAAAGTTTTTTAAAATTTTTTTATCACACCCACCGCTACCTTGAAATTTCTGAAAATAAGATACTTTAACATTTTATAGTCGTAGGTGCGCTAAGAGGACAAACTTCAAATTATAAAGTTAATCAGACAACAACCTATTGGCAGGGGCAGGATCATGAAACCAACTGTAATTTTATTTCGTCCAATTTAGTGAGAGCACTATGGTTTTTCTTTCTGAACTACATTTTTAATATTAAAATTTGAACTTGTGTAACAAACCTGTTTTCTCTATCTGCAGACTTCATTTGCAAAAGTAACACTTTACTAAAAAGTTGCTCCATATTGACTCTTTGAGCTAAGATGCAACTGGGGATAAAGTAAAAAAAAATAATAATAATTTTTTTTTGCTAACCCTGCCCCCATTTTACCGATGTTCACAAGTAAATCAATAGTTGGGACACAAATATAAAAAGTCATAAGAAAGGAATCAAATTTATATTCAAAAAATATGTTTTTAGTTGTACCAGTAGGCTGAACATATTTGCAAGAAATCCTGAGAGCTGAGCTTTTCAAGTATAAAAAGATGGAAAAACGACCGTTTGAAATAAAAATAGCCTAGGCCCCTAGCTAGGCCTAGGCCTATAGCAGGCCTGGACTATAGTAGTATAGGCTAGGCTATGTTGATTGAAAAAAAAAATCAGAATCTCTCCAAAAGTGATGAGGGAGGGGGTGATAACTAATAAATGTTTTTATGGGCCCTAAACAGGGCCTAGCTCGACAGGCTGAGATGGGCCTAGCCTAGATAGTTAGGGCGCTCCGCTAGTTAGTTAGGCCTAGCGGGCTAGCTAGGCTAGGGCCTTAGGCTAGGCCTAGGCCTACGCTTACGAAAATTATCACTAACAATATTAGGCTTAGGCTAGAGCGAAAGCAGGACGTTTTCTACAACCTATTTTCAACAATAAATTAATATTCAACATTCAACCAACGTAATACTATCATGAACCTCTCTTTAAACACTTCTTAAACATAAATTGTATTTTGGTCGGCCAATTCGTACTTCCCGCCGACTTTTTGAAGTCATGAACTGTTATGCAAGGGCGCCCCCGCTCACCAAATAATTAGACTAGCGAATCCAGCATCTTTGAATGAAAGTGAGAATCAGAACACTGTTGTGGTGTGGTGGGAATGGTCTTATCGTTTATTAGTTCTATATTACTAATAAGAAGCGAATGGAATTAAAGATGCAAGGTTGGTTGTCATCAAGTATGTTATAAAAACTGTATTGATATTCAGGTGAGGCTAGGATCATCTAAGTTTTTAGATTACGGGCCATATCTTTGTTGTGAAGTCCTGCTTCTCAGACAGGCCTAGGGCTAGGCCTATGCCTAGCTATCCCACGTTCGTACGGTGAGTCCAATTGGTCACCGGATACAGATGTTGCGTGAAAGGGGTTGGGTTATTCGTTGGGAGGAGATGTTGACCTGGTCTAACACATAAGCCTAGCCTAGGCCTAGGTCTATTCTTGTAGGAGAGGATTGTTAAGTAATCATATTGGTTGTTAACCATCCATTCATATATCTAAAGTTAGCCTGCCTAGGCCTAAATTTCCATCAAAATAACATTCATCTGATTATGAATTCAAATTGATGTTATCTGTTTATTTTATTTTGTTTTTACAGGCAGGTCTCGTCGTAGGCCATAGGGGCCAAGGCTTATGTTTTGTTTTAATTTTATTTATAGGCTAGTGTGCGGATGAAGTGCAACCATACTCATACTGTGGAGTTTTTTATTTGCACTGATGATACCTCAAAAATTCCCTCAAATTTGTACGGAAAATCGCAAGGAAAATAAGTGCACAGTATCGTAAATATCTGGTTTTATATTAATATTTGGTCAAAGCCTAATTTTCGGCAAAATCTGCGCGGAAACAGAGATGCGCAGATAGATTTATAGACCTAATTTTTGCATGGAGCATACAGTATTCCCCACGCAGGCCTAATACATTACAGTCTGGTAGGGCTAGACTTACTTAATACTTATTAAATTTTTATATATGTTATAATTTAAGTCATTTTAAATACTGTATTAAAATTTTTTAAAAATGACTCCAGATAAAGAAAGTGAAGCTGGCCATCTTACTCAATGTTTCAACTTTAATTTTATTTAATCATCATCACGAAAAAGTTGAAACGTTGAGTATACTGTATGGCCTCACTTTCTTTATTTGGAGTCACTTTTGTTTTATTGTATTAACATAATCAGTGCACCTTTTAGTTAATACTGTATTAATTTGTCTATTCAATATATTGTAATTTGTGCCATCTTAATTTAATAATACCATCTTAACCTAAATTTTCTCTTACCTTGCATATCCATCTTTATTATTTGAATTTTTAATTTTTCTTAAGTTTCTTTCAATGTTTCTTTTAAATCTATTTTAATTTGTAGTTAAGTTAGCCATCTTTTTTGGTTAAAATATGTATATATCTGCTTTTAAAATGTTGTAGTTAAGAACTGAACCACTTTAGAAACCAGTACTATGTATTGAAAGTGTATATTCAGTATAAAGAAAGAATAAATAAATAAATAATTTTAACTCTCTGTACTACAGTCAATAGTACAGTGCGTGTGTCTGATTTATCGTCGCTCAAGAAAGCGGTGTTTTACCAAGAAGCTTCCTAAAAGCAAAAGAATGTGATTATTAATCTATATCTAGTGATTTTTTTTTTCAGACAGTCATTGAAAAGCTATTCAAAAAAAGTTGCATCATTCAACTACATCCAGCAAAAAACATAAACTTACTAGCTGTCCTATAGTAAATAGCCGTCTGTATCACATGGTATGTTCGAAGAAAGATTAACCAGTTTACTACAAAGTTTACCAGCTCACTACCTTTGCACACCAAACCAGGGAGAATGCCTCCCACCAACATGCAGGGGCAGGCCCAACAACAAGGCGCAAGGGGCAACAACAACAACACACCCCTTGTGAATGTTCGTGACCGTCTGTTTCACGCGCTCTTCTTTAAAATCGCCATCACTTATGCACGTGCCTTTCCGCCAGCGGCTCGACGTGTTTTTGAATTCGCAATTCTTATTAAGGTAACCCAAGTTTCTATGACTTTATGTAATTATAATAATAGGACTTAATATTTTATATTTTTCATTCCTGAGGCTGTGTTTATATTTAGTAATTGTCTACTTGGTATTAAAGTCTGGGAAAAAAGCTAAACATTTTCTACTTAAATACATTAAAGTGCTTAAACAAGATAGGTTAGTATCCAATACTTTCTCAATGCAATTACATCAACTTGCTTAAGTCGAATCCACAATGCCATTAAAATATTGTTCGACGTAGATAAATTTTGACTTACAGATTGTGAAATTAAATGGAAAAACACAACAATTTGGCATGTAAAATTAGATCGATTAGAAATTATTCGACTTCGGCAAAGTCGATTTCAGCAAGTTTAACAGTACTCAACGCATGCAATACAGGTTTTTCCTCTAATAATTAAAGACCCTTCAACTATTGACCTCCTCCAATTATAGACCAATTTTCTATGGTCCCAAATTAACAAATGTGTTTATTATTCTAATTGGAGACCAAAGCTGCTAAAGACCATGAAAACCGTGGTCCCAAAAATGGTCTTTAATTGGAGGGAAACCTGTATATTTACTTGTCGTCATACCCTTACAGTAATGTTTTAATGTTTTAACATTTTATGTATTCTTATTTTATATTATGTCTATAAAGCTTGTGCCTGATGGCCAGGGGGTATATTAATAATTATGTATTTCTCCTATATTAATAATTGTGTATTTCTCCTGTATGCAATTTACAATTTATTTAAAGAAAAATTATTTTTTTATTTTGTTCTTTTCTCTTCATAGGCTTTGTCAGTACTATTTGTTTTGGCTTACATTCATTGCGCTTTTTCACGGACGCCCATCAACTGCCTCGTAGAAATCCAAGAAAAGTGGCCGAGGGATGGCATACTGCGAGTGGAGATATATAGAAACCGTACCGGACCAAAGTACTTCACGCTGGTCAGTAAAAAAGAACAAGAAGATGAACATCCAACAGGTAAGGTCATCTCAAGCATTTAAGAGGGAGGGGGGTGGGGCTAAAAGGTGGAGTAGGGACTTGATGATTAACACTCTCACCGCCAGACATTTTAGCGAATTTGAGAATGCGCATGTAATCAGATTGACATGTAATGAATACCACAAGAACTACAAACATTTTAGCTTTACAATGGTACCAAACAAAATTCTAATTACAATCTGTGACCCGTAACAGTAAAATGAAAATGACTCACTTTTGGAGATTTATGCAATTTTGCACAACAAAGCTGAGATAATCATGATTTCGTGAAAGTACATCAATACCGCTACGCTCAATGTAAACAAACAAATAGTGAAATACTTACGGTCCAGACTGAATATCGTGTTCAAATTGTTAGTACATGTCGGTGTTACCCCAATTACCCCATCTATAGGATTCCGTAAAAAAAAACCCTGAAACACGGAGATCTCCGTGTTTGTTTGTCAAGTTTTCTGTTACCAAACACGGAGATCTCCGTGTTTGGCGGGCAGAGTTTTAAGTAAGGGACGCTAGTTTCCAAAATTAGGTGATATGAAGTGATTTGTAACTACTTGAGCGTGATTTTTTTGCTTAGGACATTTTCAATGGGGCGAGGCAAAGATAAGAATGTGAGCATTGTATACAATTATTATAAATATGCCATTCTGGCACAACTGTTACATCACAAAATGCACTTACATTTATGTTGTAATTATTCAATAAAAAATCAACACCAAACAAAGTGCTATCCGATTTATTCTAAATACAGTCTTTGAGACCTCAAATAGTTCCAACTCAACGTCGTGGCCAATGAATTACTGGGAATTCCCAGGCCGAGAAAAGACTAAAGAGGTAGAGTCAAATATCACCATTATACTGGATGACAAAACAGGGGACAATATGACCGTATGGTATACTCAAGTAGAGAAGCCAGTTAAGAACATGCAGCCCTTTCGGGAGACAGTGTCAGAGATGGAAATGTTTACAAATGTTGGTATGTATCTTGAGACTTATTTTATAGAGAGAACGGCTTAGCTCAATTGGCTAAACTGGTGTTAGCCACTGTGGTGCGCGATGAACCGTAGAGATCTCTTGGCCCTCGGTTCAATTCCCATCGCCTTGTATTTCAGCTGGAAGGCAAGTTTACAGGTATGATAGTGCGCTGTTTTTCGATTGAGACATTTAAGCTGTTTGTCCCATGTGCATTATGGCTCATGTGTATTTTAAGGAACGCATTACACTCTTCGTAAAGGAGTAGGGGATTGTCTCCCGGTGTACTGCCCAATCACCATCAAAAGGACCCCACTGGAAATAAGTCTTCTTCAGACTTTTGTGGGTTATCCTTGGTGTTTACACCAAATAGATCCATTCATTCATAGTAAAACAATGAAAATTAAAATTCATTTGTATATAAAATAAAAGATAAGGAAATCCCAGTTAACTACATTTCATTGATCAATTGATTTGATTGGTTTTATTTTTATGTTTTCATTTTTTTGCTCTTATAGTATGGCCATCCGATGAATATATTATGGAATATTCCTTAGAGTATGGATTCCTGCGTCTGTCTGCTGCCACCAGGGAACGACTCAGCATTCCAATTATGATTGTCCACCTAGGTATGAAATGGTCTCATTCTTTTTATTTTTTTATTTTTTTTCATTCTCGTCCAACATTGGCTCTCTGCTTAGAGGATGGGGTACAATTTGGAATGCACCTAATTTCATGCTGAGGCGTACTTAGGATTTGGTTTGAGGTCCTTAACCTCTAATGTCAAAACTTTCCACTCTACTATCAAATTTAGGTTTTTACTATGCTTGACTAATTTAAGGTAATTACTGTTGACTGATTAATGATATGGTAAGGAAGTTTGCAGTGAACCGTTTGTGAAGGTTAAATAAAGGTAAATAGAAGCAGATGGATGGGTTTGAAAGGAAATGAAAGGCAGGAAAAAGATACTTGACATGAAGTGGAAGCAACCAACTATGTTTTGAGGAAACATACAAAAATTGCTGGAAAGGCATCACTTCTAACATTATACACAAATCAAAACCAAATAAATACCATTTTTATTATGATAGTCACAAAAATTCATGAAAAATCGTTAAATTATTAGATGAAATCATGAAAATTAGTATTGATGGGAAAATTTATACCAGGATGAGACTTTTTTATACCGTGTTTAGCCAATCCGCTGCCCGCCAATAATTATGATTTTGATTAAAAATATTTTTTTTTTTTTGGCCAATTAGCACACCTGCTGCCACAAAAAAAATTGAAAAAAAAAATTAAAAAAAATAACAGTTTCCTATATTTTTATTATTACGCCTGCCACTGTCTTGAAATTTGTATATTTCTTCCAAATTTAAATAAATTAAAAACATTTAACTATCCCGTTACTACTTTACACTGTTTACATTCACTAACAAAATTTTATTTTTATTTTCCCCTCCATCTGAATGTTTTTGGAAAAATTATTTGCTAAATAAGAAAACAAAATGTTATTTTTATTTTTTTCTGCTATCAATCTTTTTAAAAATAATTTCACGAAACAAGGTAAAGAAAAAATGTTGACTCATTTTAAGATTTGGGGCATGGGCTATATCAGATGAGAGTTTATAAGCCTACATTGCTATAGTAAAATTATACAAAGACATATTAATACTATTATTATTAATTATTGGATATTTTTCGCTATCAGATCCTTTACAAGATGAATGTTTTGGGGACAGCCTGAGCCGATTCTTTTTGGAGGATTTTCTCGGATATGATGACATCCTCATGTCAAGTGTCAAAAGCCTGGCTGAGTATGAGGACAACAAAGGTCAGAAGATTTATGAATATTCATATATTGAATAACATTTAATGTGTCTGGACAACACTTGAGAGGCTTATGGAAAATTTTCCATTAGAAATTATTTAATATTTTGTTGTATTTGGTTTTTTTGTTGAACATACAGAACGTATATCTATGAAAGGTTTTATGTTTTGTTGCATCATTGTAGAAGGCAAATGTTAGAACCTCTTTAGCCACAGGGCAGTTTATAATAACAAACAGATTTCGTAATTGTGACTATTCATAATTCAGCAAGTTCAAATTTTCAAAGCATCTCGTTGGTGAGAGTAGGCCTAGCCTTACCATGGGAGCAAAATTTTGTCACAACATTTAGACTTGGATTTCACTGCAACAAAATAATGCTGTACAAAAGCCAAAATTATCTGTACTTAAGAATTTCTGAATGAAAACATGACCATTAATAGTCAAAAAACGAGTGTTATTATTCTCTTCATACTGATTGCGAATTAGTGTAACCAATAAATATTATCTTATTTTTATTTATCTCTATTTTCAATTCATAGGTTATCTGCGTAACGTGGTGACTGGAGAACATTATCGTTTTGTGAGCATGTGGATGGCAAGATCCTCGTACATTGCCGCTGCCTTCATCATGCTCATTTTCACCATCTCAATATCCATGCTCCTTCGTTATTCCCATCATCAAATTTTTGTTTTCATTGGTAAGTCTCTGTCTGTGTTTTATTCTTCTTTTTTGCCTTGTGATGTATATTGATGTAATAATGAGACAAGCCAAGCGTTCAGATTCCAATTAAAACCCGACGATGGCCGAGTTTGAATTGCGGGGTCAGCAAATGTAGCAGCAACAATACCTCTCAGCAAACCCCTTAACTGTAAGATAACATACACGAGCCTAGTAACATATAATCATTAAGAATGTTTTGGTACCAGAGAAAAGGAGGATGTTGAACATACAACTAATGTTGATTTTTTAACTGTGTTTTTCTTAATTGGATTTAATAGTTGACTTGTTACAAATGCTAGAGATGAATACTGCAGTGGCCTTTCCGGCAGCACCACTACTTACTGTTATACTAGCCCTAGTTGGTAAGTCAAATTAATTAAAATTATTTAGTAATTAGCAATTAATTTTATAAGTCCTAGGCTTTTACAAACAATTGGTTTGAAAATATGATCGATGATAAAAAAAAAAAACCAATAGTATTTTTAATTTTTGGGCCATCCTTCAGAAGAACGCTTAGTCCTAGTCAAATTTAATATCCAGCCTCAAAATAACATTACCTCAATTTCTGTAGGCCATATTTAATCATTTTTGAAGGGAAAATGTGTTGTTTATTTTATATATTCACTCAAACCCACTCTGTGCAATAATTACAGTATTTTCATATGAATGCAAAAACATCTGGTTTATATACAGCTGTTCTTCTCGTTTTGTGGCAATAATATTTTTACCAATAAAAATTAGGAAATGTAATTTCATTGCCTTTTTGTATTAGGAATGGAAGCAATCATGTCCGAGTTTTTCAACGACACTACTACGGCGTTCTACATCATCCTCATAGTATGGGTTGCTGATCAGTACGATGCTATATGCTGCCACACAAGTGTTAGCAAAAAATTCTGGCTTAGGTCAGTACTGCCTGCTTTATAAATTTTTTCCCACTCATTTCCTGAATTTTAAGTTGAAATTCATTCACTAAAGCTCATAAATTTGTACCATTAATGCTATATAACTGAAGTAGGTTGTTTTTGATTGAGAAAAATCTTACTGTTTCCTCCATTCTATTAATAATGTATCAATAACAATAGAAAAACTCATAAATAATTTATTATTACTATAATATATATTATTATCATTATTAATAATTAATGGTAACGATATTACTTCTTATTTCCTCCATTCTATAATAATATTTCAGTAACAATAAAACAATACATACATAATGTATTATTAATATATATTATAAATATGATATTTAGTCCTTATACAGCACTATTTCATTTAAGAGAACATGACTTAGTTATATCCCTGGTCTTTGATATATTAATCTGTAAAGAAAGCTTTAGAAATTGAGTTATGAGAACAAAAATGCCTTGGTTCAGCCACAATGGACCTTTCTGCTAAGCCCCGCCCCTTGGATATTGTTGCTAAGGTCCCACAAGACGACAATGTTAAAACATACGCGAACACGTGCGTTTGTGGGACAACACGTGTGTTTGTGAGACGCACGCGTATCCCTAGCGCTGTTCTGATTAGTCAGTTGTTAAGTTTGATTGACACTCCAAAAAGGTCTATTGTACAAAGAATCCTTGTTAGGACCAACATATTATCAACCAGCTGATCCACATGAAACCAAGTGTGATTAGAATAACCATAACCATAAAATGAATAGACAAAATTGGATATATCAGGATTCCTACAATAAACTTGTTGTATTTCGTTCATAACTAAGATGTTTTATTTTTCCTTCTTTTGCAGGTTTTTCTATTTGTATCATTTTGCATTTTATGCATATCATTACCGTTTTAATGGACAGTATAGTGTTCTAGCGCTCATCACTTCTTGGCTATTTATTCAGGTTTGTGTCCCCATCTAAAATAATTATTTTTTATGTTAAAATAGTCAAGATCCAGTGTGTTGCAACAAGAAAAGTGTGTAGAGAATACTGTGAGTTTGTATAAATGCCTGTGATTGCCAATATATATAGGCCTAATGTACTGTAATACTAAAACTAATTGCCACACATGAGTGACGCTTGAGTGATTTTAGAAGAAGAACAATAAAGCGAACATTTCTCGGTGGAATGGAAGTCGGCCGTAGTTTTGCAAGTCAAAACTACGAACTGGTTGAGCTGATTTCGAACAATCATCGACAGGTTTATATGTCAAGGAACTTAATTAGCCACCTCAGGGGGGCACCAGCTGGGGGGGGGGGCGTCAACATCTTCACCACCATAATTATATTCAGGATACACCCCTATTAAAGGTCCACTTTTTTTGGTGTTGAATGTGTCCCCTTAATAGGGGTTCTACTGTATGCATCAATGAATTTGGGATATTACACCACCCCATCTATTTCATCATCATTATATTTAAAATCACATATTTATTATTCATTGAACATCTTTTTATTTTATTTATTTCTACAGCACTCTATGGTGTACTTCTTTCATCACTACGAGCTACCTGCAATTTTGCAACAAGCACGTGTTCAGCTGTTGTTGCAGCGAAACCAACATGGGGGCCTTAGCCTGAACGTGAATCTTAACAACGAAAATCAAGGTAATGCACCTGCAGGAGGCCCAGATGCCAATCAAAACCAGATGGATGCCAATCAAAACAACCCTGTTGCCCCCACTGCTGATGCTCCTGCTGGAAATCCAGAAGGCAATGCGCCGGGGAATCCCGGAGGTTCACAGGCCGGACAAGCACCTAGGCAACAACCCCGCACCATAATGCAAATACCGATGGGGGTCATCAACAATCTTCATCTGAGGAACACGTTTTCTGCCCTTACTGGACAACCTCAGAGGCATATTCATATTAATATACACCACCCAATGTCAAACCGGCAAAACATGCCCCAGGCCCAGATAGATTCCACCCAGGCCAGCGTAGAAACAACATCAACAGCACCAGCAGATAGTAACACCCACGAGGGTGCCTCTGTGTCGGACACACCTAAAGAGCAGACTATTAATGAGCCTTCTCAGAACTCTCAATCTAATCAACTTGACACAAATTTAGAACAGTCTGACAATCAAGTACTTGGTTCCAAACCTGAACAAAGTATAGCTAGTAATCATAGTAGTATATCCAATTTTACATCTGGTGAATCCAGTCAAAGACCATTAGATTTAGAAAATTCAGAAGGTTTTAACAAAGAGATTACAGACTCTGGTGAGGAGGTTGCCAATGCTGGAACACCGATTTAGCAAGAGCTGCTGCAGAATTTGTGCAAAATAGTTGGTCATACGTGTGGAAAATGTGAAAATTGCAGCAATGTTGGCACTGGAAGAAGATCGCAGATGTTGGATGAATACTGTGATCCACGAGTTAACATCATGATAAATGTTGGCCTTGCTTTCATCCTTCTGTGGTTTTGAAAGTGGAAACATCCTGATCATTTTCCAATTAGCTACGATGCAATGTGAATCAACTGTCAGCTTGGACAGAGAGCAACTTTTGAATGTCAAAGGTTAAAGGTCTTAAGAGCAGTTCACTAATATGCCATTCAGGTCAAAGGATTTATCTGATAAACTCTGTTGGAGGGTCTCATTCCATTCATACAAGAATGGGATTTTATTTAAATACATTTTTTTTAGTATAATTGATTGTGATCTTATATTTGATTTTAAAGTGGAAAGCTTGTATTTAAAATTTCCCTGCTAAATCGCTGCTTTATCCATGCAAATGAAAAAAAAAACTCTTATTGTTGATAATATTTGTATTCCTTCTCAAGAATGAGTGGGGGGGGGGATGGGTAAGGTAAAGGTAGTCTAATATTCATTACTGGATATAGAGGAATAAACTGTTGGCCCATCGTACTAAGCCTCGGCATTGTGTGGTAGGGTAGCCAGTTCCTTTCCACACCACCTTTTTAACCTTCCAGGTATATTTCAACCAGGTACTCATTTGTACTCTTGGGTGGAGAGAGTCAAACGCAGGTAAAGTGCATTGTCTAAGGACACAAGCGAAATGCACAGCGAAGGTTCGAACCCCCAACTTTGAACTTGAGAAACCAAAATACATCAGCTGTGCCAAGCATCAATCAAGAACCTATTGAATCTTGAACACATGTCACTGTGGCCTTCAATATACATGTGCTAAAGTGCACCCACTGTATTACGATAGCGCAACAACCTCTAGGCCTGCATTGCAGTATTGCAAAAATGTGTCATCTTTATTGGTACAACACTAATAAATTGTACGCATGTGATTTTCCCACCTGTGGTTTAAGAATTGTATTAAAATAGTTTAGGATACTGTACGAACAAAATGAGGGCATGCCATCCCAAAACCAGCATATTGTCACCATAATATGGGAAACTGAGTAATAAGCATAAGAATTTGGCAGTATTGTATACTTTAGTACAGAGAAGCTGTAATACTCATAACTTTAGCGAAAGTAAGACAATTTTTAGTAAATGACCTGTCATTGTAAATCTAATATCGTGAATATGAATAAATGAAGTCAAATTTTCATTTTTTGGCAATTGGTGCTGGTTTTAGGATGGCACACATACACACAATGGGACCTCTCCCTTGGGGTGGGGGGGGGTAAAAACTTCATATTTGTTTGAAGTGGGTTTCATTAGTACAAGTGCAATGAAATATGGTTCTGTTAATTAAATACTTGACGTTAACTAGATTACATGAGTATCAGTTGGCTTTTTATATTTAAAGATGTAGTGCCCAATGCGAAATTCCTTTAAATAAATAACAAGTATTAAATTTAATTGCTTAAATTCAATGTAGTGTACAATAATGGCTGGTCAGGGGAAATGTTATTTCAGGAAAAAAAAAGTTTTATGGTGGAATTAAAAATGAAATTTACTTTCCATTATTCTGTAGTCTTAGACAATTCACATTTGAAGGCATCAATTTAATTTATAAATAAATTGATACGGTAAAAGTTAATTTCCCAGTTTTAAAAGGTGGAAAGAAAAATATATTTTATTACATTTACCTCTGAACATACATATTGTACTAATTTAACCAATGAGTGCAAATGACTTGTTTTCAAAAGTATTATTACCTATACAGTATAGTATATATGCAGGTAAACATTTTGGTAGTACTGTTTTTAAGAAGGAAAAAAGACCATTGTCTCTGTCCTGATTTGAACCATATACATGGTACTGTTGGGGTCATGGTAGAAGTGTCCTTGTCTCAGCACTGGGTAACGCCAATTCTACAAGGTATACTTGCGTCACCATTGTCATTATGCCTAGATTAGACCACAGCAGGTCCTTTCTAGAGCCTGCCCTTGCGGTCATATCTGCAAATGTCTGTGTACACCTTAAGAAGAAATAAGTTGATCGATCAATCTGATTGGCCCTGCATATAATTACATTTAATAAATTTACATACGGGAAATTCATTAATTATATTATAAATGTACTGGTATTTGCATTGAAAAAATGACAAAAATATGTCCAAGAGAATATAAAAGCTGTGCTTCATAACTACTGTATTATTTGAGTGACTAAATATAAATCAGAGAGTGTTGGGTTCGAATCATGATTGGGAAACAATCACCTTTTCTTTTTTTTTAAAATTGATTAAATGAGCTTTTGAAATCCTTAAATTGTCATATTTTTCAGAGAAATGGAACACTTTTTCGTTGGGGTCATCGGACCCTGTCGGGCAAATTCTGGCACCAACCCTGTATGAAAAGATAAATAAATGTTGCCCAGAGAACCATTACTCATAAAGGTGATAATACAAACGGTTATTAGATCATAGATTTAGTTGCGCCAGCGGGAACATAATCACTGTCGGCCACAACTTGTCCAACCGAAAAATAGAACATTATTCTTCATTTTAACTTTCAGACTTGCCCAGAATTTCCTGGATTTGTTTGGCACCCCACCAGGGCTTAACCCAGGGAACTTGCTAGCTGCCCTTTTGACCCAGGCAGTGGGAAGGGAAGGGAAGCTGAAGTACCACCCTGCCTCCCCCCCCCCTTTCCCACAATTAACAAGATATGTTCACTATGGTTTCAGATACTTAGATAGCACCTCACTAACACTATTTCCACTTGATACAACTCATTAGTTAGTTAAGTGTTTAGTAAACCTTTTTGGATTATTTTGTTAATATCTGAATCTGTTTATAAAAATGGAATAAAATAATTTTTAACTTAATTTTTTATTCTGTAAATGATGTATGATTTCAGTAGTGAGAATTAAGAAGTTATGGAACTCTTTATTAAATTGATTGTATATTAATGTAAAATATAAGACAAATGTAACCTATTTAACATGTTATCGAGAAACTTTTAATTCGTAGCCATGTAATCCAGTTTCGTGCAACCGTTATTAAAATAATTAAAATAAAAGCAATTAATATTGTTGTAATGATATGTTTACAAGAGAGAATAACTCATTTGGCTTACTGTAAATGATCAGTGCAAAAACATGTTTGGTGCAGCACCAAACATGTTTTTGTGTTTTTTCCCCCCCACTAAGTACCGCTTATAAAGGCCCTGTCACATAGTAGCGAATAGACCCAACTTTCTCATTTTTTTCCTAAGTCCCGATACGCGCAAAAAAATAACATTTTTGCGTGAAAGACGAACGCCCAACGAATGCTCATCGTACAACTAGCGTCCATTTAACGAATGACAGCGCATTCACCCAACGAATGTTCGGCGTACACAACGAATGCCTAACGTATTGACGCCTTGTAAACGCTGAGTGTTCGCTGGCCATTCGTTACTCATTAGTTAGACAAACGCTTCAGATGGGATTGAACATGTTTGGACGAACAACGGACGAACAGAATACGTAAACCCAACATGTGAAACATTCAAACAACGAATGCTCACCGTGTATGTAGCAGAACGTTGTCATATGTCCAAAAATTAAAATAGACCCCAGCGTACCCCAACGAACAGCTAACGAATACAACGTATTACGAACGTGTCACGAACGAATGTCAACTTACGCGAACGTAAACCAATATTTTGATAAACGTTGGCATACGTTGATTCTATACGCTACAGTGTGACAGGGGCTTGCGGCAGATAAAATATTCAATTTTGAATAAACATCAGAGTTGGCGCCCAACAGATAGGCCAGCTGGCCGTCAATTCCTAAGGCTATGTTCTCACCTGGCAGCTAATGGTTAGCAGGATCCGGATCCTGTTAACCGTTAGCTGCCGTGCGTCCATACGAGAAAGATCCTGATCCGGATACTGGAAATTGTAAACGCGTACGTGTGATTGGTTGACGATAGAAACGTGCTCAACTTGCTAACCGTTAGTGCTAACTGATCCATCGTTCTCATACAGGTGCTAACGGTTAGCGCTAACGGTTAACTCCTAATCCGGATACTAGGTCTCTCATGAGAACCAGGCTTAAAAACATTTAACCATCCCATTACTACACTGTTTACATTAACCAATGAAATTGTGTTTTTATTTTCTCCCCCATCTGGACGTTTTTAGCAAAACCATTTGCTAAATAAGAAAACAAACTTTTCTTATTTTTTTTTAAATGTGATCTTTAAAAAACTTCGCGAAACTTGCTGAATGTAAGAAAACTCTATGAACATATGACACTCGTATATTATGTGGGTTTCAATGGCGATGTATATTTTCAATTCTCACAAAAAGATTCTGTAAAAACATCACTTTTTTTCAATTACATTCTAAAGACAATTTTCTCTAAAATTGATAAACAGCGCAAATAATTATAGTATATTATGTACTATTATGGAGCTGGCCATTGCGACCAAAGCCTTTTAGATATAAAATACATCAATACAAATATTCTAACGATGAATAAAGTAGTTTTTACAGACACAATCAAAAAAGAATTAGAGAAAAAAATCAGTAGCCTTAGCTGTAAATAATCACTGCTACTCAAACACATTATTAAAACCCAAATAAACCAATTTTTTTCTCTAAAATCTAAACTTGAGTGAACAGTTCAAATTAATATTGAAACAAACCACTTAAAATTCCTTATTTCAAAGTTTCATTAAAAATTAACTTTACCAGAAATTTCATTTTTAAAAACCCAGGGCAACAGCTGACATGGGAAACTTACCATCACAAATATAAACGAAAACATACTGTAACATCTAACATAGAAGTTATTATGCAAAGCAAATATTAAAGAAAACAATCTCAAACACCATTTAAGTGTTGATATTCTAAAGTCTAAAAATGCTATTTTTGTTTAACTCTGTTGTCAGACTGGATATCTACAATGAATATATCATTCGTAAAATGATTTTTTAAATGTACATGCAAATATCATTAAACATTTGCTTTATGTATAGTGTATGTGCAGATACAGTTACAAACAGGAATGAGAAGAAATGAATTATTTTAAAATCCTTTAAAAATCCAGAGATGAATAGCGTATCACTTGCATCGTTGTAGGTAATTCTAATCTCTATAGCATTACATATTTGGAGCTAACCTAATTTCATGAAACCGTGGATTAAACTTAACAACCCAGTAACTGGCAAGGAAATTCCGAGCATTTAAAAATATAAGTAATTCCACACAATACACACAGAAAAAAACATCCCAATAATGTAATTAAAATCTATCAAAATCAATGCTAA